TGAAAGGTGGAGACTACGACAAGGACTCGAGTGAAGATCCATACCCGGGCCAATTCCTCTTTGTCTCCACGCAAGAAGCAGCTGCAGCAGGAGGTGTGGAAGGCTTTGAAGAGCCAGCTACTGTGGGAAAGGTCACCCTTCACTCTCTGGACTTTTTGGAGATCGATAGCGGCGCCACCTATAGCATGACACCTCGTGCGGACTTGCTCACCGAACTCGAACCGTCGCCGGTGAAGCATGTTGCATCGGCTTTGGGGCAGCGAGCAGAGATGAAAGGCATGGGCAAGGCCATGTTCAAGGGTGCTGATGGGAAGATGGTGGGCCTCAAGAACGTGCTTTGGGTGCCCAACCTTGCAGCCAACCTGATTTCTGTGCGGCGTTTGCAAAAGGCAGGCATGGACACATCTTCCAAGGGATCCAAAACCTATACCGCGAGGCTTGGTGACCGGAAGCTTTGGGACCTTCATGAGGACAGGGACATCTACAATAAGATGTGACAAATCCCAGTGGTACCCATGCCTAAGGAGAGGCAAGTGGCAGCAAGCGTCAGCACCAAGAGTGAAGCGGTTGGTGGCGGTGATCACGGAAAACAAAGTGAGACGAAGAGTGACTCGAATGAGTGCAATCTTGGAGATGTTGTGTGATGTCATCATATGCTATCACATTCTGTCTGCCTCCCATCCCATGTTTTTTCAACTTGCATGTGTGGTTTGAATGTGCAAGCATTTGTGTGTGGTGTGTTCTGGAGTTTGGGAATGTGTTTTGTGTTATTCTGTCTGAGCAGGTATTTGTGATAATAGATCTTGAGAAGATCTTTCCGACGCAACAAGAATCGCTTCAATCGGAGCAAGAACGCGAAAGCTATGAAGATTCAAAGTTCATGAGCTTGCGTTACAATTGCGGCGGTTACTAAGTGAAGTTGTGGGGTGACTTTATATGGAGTTGGGACCTTTGGGGTTGGGGAAACTTGTCACTCTACTGTAACAGCTGCAAATTGGTTGGGAACAACCAAGCTAGGTTGGCAAGGGTGGCCAACTTGGATGGATTGGTTGGGAAGGGACAAATGTCAAAGTTGGGGTTCCTATAGGGAGGGAATCTTTGTGCTTATGGGGTTTCCTTGGTTGGGGACTCTCTTGGGACCTTCCCTCTCATCCCTCTCTTCCTATCCCAACCTTTCTCTTGCTCCTTCTAATTCCTTGTGAGATTCTTGAACTTTGATTGAACTCTTGAGATTGAGTTAAGTTCTCCTCCTACAGCTTACCCCCTAGTGCGTCGAAAGCCATAGCGTCGCGAATACTTCATCAATCAACGTGATTCAAATTGGGAACGGTAGCTGAGATCAAGAGCTACAACATATCCAAGTTTCGCGACATTCCAACGGCTAGTGTTTTGTCGACGTCGTTTCTTGTGAAGACGACTTTTCTGTCCAGAATTTCGGATTTATATTTTGAGTAATTCTAGCTCCTAAGTTCACCTAGACTCTGTCCTTAATCCTAACAAGTGGTATCAGAGCTGTATTAAGGACGTTGAGAGGAGTCTACAGAAGTGTGAAGACCCTTCTAGACCCACCATGGCCTGTGGGTGTGCCTAAGTGGTGTTCTAAAGGTTGGATGTGTCTTCCGCTAAGGGAAACTCTGCCGAAATTTCGTGGACGCCGACACTTGTGAAAATATCGAGGGAGCTGAGTGTGGACAGCAAAGGGGGGCTGAAATTCGTCATTTCTCAAGGAGAAGATGAATGAGAGAGGAGGAGATGCTAATGGAAGAGGAGCTGTAGCTGAGAAGACAAGTGAGCCGCCGCCATCAAAAGTTGAAGCTTTGGATGGCTCCAACTATGAGGAATGGAGCGGACGGATGAGGAGTGCCTTCAAACGCTACAAGCTCCTGAAGATTGCTGTTGGGGAAGAGAAGATGCCGGAAGAAGGCGAAGCACGTGAACGGTGGATTGAGAAAAGCGCGGTGCTTTTCGACCTCATTCTTCAATCGGTCAACAAGGAGATGTTCGAGCACATCAAGGATCTTGTGGAAGCGGATGATTCGGGTCCAAGGGCGTGGAAACTACTACGTGATGTGGTTCAGCCCAACACTCTCCCGATGGTGATCGTGCTCGAGAAGGAACTTGCTGCCATCTCCATGCGACCAGGGGACGATGTGAAGCCGGTCCTTGACAAGATCAAGGACACCTATGCAAGGATGGCAGCAGCGGGCAGCAGTGTATCTCAGCTGCAGCAGTGCACCAAGATCATCTCGGTGTTGGACAACTCTTGGGACAACCTCATCCCCACCCTCAACTCTCAGCAAGATCAATGGACACCTGAGTGGCTAAGGCAGCAGATTCTGCAGGAGGACTTCCGCAGACGCCATGTGGGAGGCGGTGCTGCCACTAAGACTGCTGAGGGGTATGGAGCTGCAGGGCGCAGCAGAGGAAGAGGGGGTTGGAAAGGCCGAGGCCGTGGGAGGAGCTTTGGCAGAGGTAGAGGCCGAGGTGACTATAATGAGGGGCATGGGAGCTCTAGTGGCAGGGGGAGTACCAGAATGGAGGGCACGTGCTGGTACTGCAAGAAGGTTGGGCATCCTTGGTTCAAGTGCTTCAGCAGGCTGGAGGGATGGGCACCTCCAGGCATGAAGCCGCCCAGTGGTGAACGCGCACAAGGTGGCGCTGTGCAAGGCTCAGGTGCACAAGGTGAAGGTGCACAAGGTAATGCCTATCCTGGTTTGTTTGTTATGGTTGAGGATGTGCATGGGCATGAGGGTGATGTGGGATCTGTGGGAAAGGTTGTGATGCACCCTCTCACGCACTGGGTGATTGATTCGGGTTGCACCAGTCACATGACTCCACGGGCAGATTTGCTTGATGAGGTAAAACCCCCTGGGAAGATTAAGTATGTGGCAGCAGCGTCAGGTGCTTTGCTCCCCGTGATTGGTGTTGGGAATGCCAAGGTTAAGGGAGCTAATGGGGAGCTTGTGGGGCTTGGGAATGTTCTGCTGGTTAAAGGCTTGTCTGCTAACCTTCTCTCTGTGCGGCGACTGCAGAAGAGTAAGGCCGAAGTGACCTTTGGACCAACCAGCTGCCGTGCTAAGCTTGGGAAGAAGGTGCTGTGGAGTCTGGAAGAGGAGACCAGCTGCATCAAGGACCTGTGGCAGCTGCCCATCATCCCATGGAATGGGAAGACTCCAACAGCAGCAACGGCAGCAGCGGCAAAGGCAACAGCAGGAGGAGATGCAACTGCACCAACTGATGGGGTCCTGGAAGCAGTCAAGAAAGTGCAGCAGCAGCAGACACATGGTGAGGTGCTTGCTGGTGTGGATGCAAGTGCGGCATGGGCTAAGGCTTCACCAAGGAGTGGAGAGGCCGATTGGGAGACATGGCATGAGAGGCTGTGTCATGTGAACTTCCCTATGCTGCAGAAGTTGGTGAAGGATGGGAGCCTGAAGGGCTTGGAGGTGAAAGGGGGAGTGAAGGAGATTGGGAGCTGCCCTACATGCTTGGAGACCAAGTTCTCCAAGTTCCCCTTCAACAGCACTACAGGACCAGCCAAGACCCCACTTGCACTTGTGCATATGGATGTGGTGGGGCCCACAAGAGCCCCTTCCCTCTCAGGCAGCCGCTATTTCTTGACAATTGTGGATGACCACACTCGGGCAGTGTGGGTTTACCCTTTGAAGAGCAAGGGGGAGGTGGCAGCGGCTGTCCTTAAGGAGTGGATGCCGAGAGCTCAGAGGGAATGCGGACACAAGGTGAAGGTGATCCGTAGTGACAATGGTGGGGAGTTCATTGGAGCTGATTTTGAGGGGGAGTTGAAGAGGAAGGGGATCCAGCATCAACTGACAGTGCCCTACAACCCGCAGCAGAATGGCGTGGCTGAGAGGTTCAACAGGACCCTGCAGGAGGGGGCACGCACTCTCCTTGGGCGTGCAGGGCTACCTGATCCGTTTTGGGTGTCTGCACTGAGGCAGGTCGCCCTTGTGAAGAATAGAGTGCTGGCTACAGTTGGGGATAAGGAGTGGATCCCATATACCAAGTGGTATGGGAGTGCTCCAGCTGTGAATATGCTGAGGGCATTTGGGTGCATGGTAGTGTTTCATGTGCCTAAGGAGAAAAGAGGGAAGTTGGAGGCTTCTGGAAGATGGGGTGTGCACTTGGGGATTGCAAAGGATCACAAGGGATGGCTTCTATGGGACTTGACCATCCAGAAGCTGACAGTGTCAAGGGATGTGAAGTTTCTTGAGTCCCTGTACTATAAGGAATGGAAGCAGCAGCAACAGAAGCTTCCATCTACACCACTCATTGTGGAGGCAGATGAGTTGCAGCAGCCTTCAAGGCAGGTGGAGGTTGCAGTGTCTGAGGAGGAGATATCTGGGGTGACTGAAGAAGGGGGAGCAGCTGAAGTGGAGCAGCAACAGCAACATGAGTCTCCACCTCGAGTTCCACACCCGCCTGAGCGACCTAGGAGGGATGTGCGCCCTCCTGTGAGGCTGACCTGTGGGGGAAGAGGCAAGCCAAATGTGGTGCAGGCTGGGAGTGTGGTTGAGCAGATTGAGGAAGATGAGATCGCTCACTGCTACTGGGCACCAATCCCTGAGCCCAAGACTCGAGAGGAGGCCTTGAATGGACCAAATGGGGAGAAGTGGAAGGCGAGTGAGGATGAGGAGTTCGGGTCCCTAATTGAGAACGAGACATGGGACCTGTGTGACTTGCCTCCTGGAAAGAAGGCAATCACTTCCAAGATGATCTACAGGCACAAGTATGGACCTGAAGGGGAGCTGACCCGCTACAAGTCTAGGCTTGTGGCACGGGGGTTTCAGCAGACAAAGGGGAAGGACTATGATGAGGTGTTTGCTCCTGTGGGGAAAGGAACAACACTGAGGGTGCTGTTGGCGATAGCTGCACTCCTGGGATGGAAGATACGGCAGATGGACATTGTGACTGCCTTTCTGAATGGGATCATTCTGGAGGAGGTGTACATGAAACAGCCAGAGGGGCTGGATGACGGGAGCGGCAGGGTCTGCAGGCTGAAGAAGGCCATCTATGGCCTTAAGCAGGCGCCTCGTGCATGGTATCACAAGTTGGAGGAGGCGCTGTTGGCTGGGGGTTTCAAGAAGAGTGAGTGTGACCCCAGCCTGTTCCTGCTGCAGGAGAAGGACGAAATCCTCATGCTCTTGGTGTATATGGATGATATCCTTCTCTTTTCTGCATCCACTGCTTTGCTGGACAGCGCAGAGCAGATGCTGGAGATGCAGTTCAAGTGCTCCAAGATGGGTGAGGTGAAGTACTACTTGGGGATGCACGTGGAGAGAGATGTGGAAAAGGGTGTGCTGAGGTTGCACCAGAGGAAGTACTGTGAGGGGCTGGCTGAGAAGTATGGGCTGCAAGATGGGGGAAAGCCAGCAACACCACTACCTTCAGGGTTTACTGTGGAGCCATGTGCTGATGAGGAGGTAGTGGGTGAGAGTGACAGGAAGCTGTTTCATTCGATGGTTGGGTCGCTGAATTATGCTGCAAATCATACACGGCCTGACATTGCATTTTCTACATCACGGTTGGCTAGTGTGGTCTCACGCCCTAGTCATGAGCAGCTGGAAGCGGCCAAGAGGTTGGTCCGCTATGTGAGTGCTACGGCATCAGTGGGATTGGAGTACAGTGGAGTGAGGCAGCGGTTGCAGAGAGGTGCTGCAGATGTGAAGAGTGGAAAGATGCTCTTGAGTTGCTATACTGACGCTAGCTTCAACTCAGTGAAAGCGGATGGCACCAGCATTGGGGGTTATGTGTGCTTGCTAGGAGGTGGTGCTGTGAGCTGGCGCAGCAAGAAGCAGAATGAGGTGGGATTGTCTTCATGTGAGACTGAGTACATGGCCTTACACCATGGGGCCAAGGAAGTGGTATGGCTGAGGCGTTTGTTGGAGGAGTTGGGAGTTGGTCAGGAGGAGCCGACAGTTGTGTTCTGTGACAATGAGTCTGCAGTGAAGCTGGCCAAGAATGCTTGTCTGCATGGGCTGACAAAACACATAAGGCCTAAGTGGCATTGGGTGAGGAGAATCCTTGATAAGGAGGTGCGGCTGGAGATAGTGAAGACCCATCAGCAGGCAGCAGATATTTTCACTAAGCGTCTTGCGGAGGCGGATCATTGGAAGGGCATGAAGCTTGCTGGGATGAGTGTGCATTGAGTATGCATGCTTGAGATGTGGTATGGTCGATGATGGTTGGCAGCCAGAGGGGGAGATTGTTGTGTGATGTCATCATATGCTATCACATTCTGTCTGCCTCCCATCCCATGTTTTTTCAACTTGCATGTGTGGTTTGAATGTGCAAGCATTTGTGTGTGGTGTGTTCTGGAGTTTGGGAATGTGTTTTGTGTTATTCTGTCTGAGCAGGTATTTGTGATAATAGATCTTGAGAAGATCTTTCCGACGCAACAAGAATCGCTTCAATCGGAGCAAGAACGCGAAAGCTATGAAGATTCAAAGTTCATGAGCTTGCGTTACAATTGCGGCGGTTACTAAGTGAAGTTGTGGGGTGACTTTATATGGAGTTGGGACCTTTGGGGTTGGGGAAACTTGTCACTCTACTGTAACAGCTGCAAATTGGTTGGGAACAACCAAGCTAGGTTGGCAAGGGTGGCCAACTTGGATGGATTGGTTGGGAAGGGACAAATGTCAAAGTTGGGGTTCCTATAGGGAGGGAATCTTTGTGCTTATGGGGTTTCCTTGGTTGGGGACTCTCTTGGGACCTTCCCTCTCATCCCTCTCTTCCTATCCCAACCTTTCTCTTGCTCCTTCTAATTCCTTGTGAGATTCTTGAACTTTGATTGAACTCTTGAGATTGAGTTAAGTTCTCCTCCTACAGCTTACCCCCTAGTGCGTCGAAAGCCATAGCGTCGCGAATACTTCATCAATCAACGTGATTCAAATTGGGAACGGTAGCTGAGATCAAGAGCTACAACATATCCAAGTTTCGCGACATTCCAACGGCTAGTGTTTTGTCGACGTCGTTTCTTGTGAAGACGACTTTTCTGTCCAGAATTTCGGATTTATATTTTGAGTAATTCTAGCTCCTAAGTTCACCTAGACTCTGTCCTTAATCCTAACAGGAGAGACTAGCAATGCGTGTGAACCCAAGGAGAGTAGTGCAGCAGCCAAAGGTGGTGGAAATGAGGAGGGGAAGGCTAAGATCAGCAAAGCTGCAGCGGCAAAGGAGAGAGGAGAGAGCTTGTGGGGCACAATTGCGAGTGCCGCTTTCTCCAACCCGACTTCCGCTACGGGAGAGTGTGATTGGCTGACCTTGCATCGGCGAATGGGGCATGTGGCATTGCCCATTTTGCAGCAGATAGTTAAGCAAGAGATGGTCAGTGGGATACGTGTCAAGGGGGAGCCCAATGAGGTGCTTGGCTGTCCAACATGCATGCAAGCCAAGTTCACCCGCTACCCGTTCCATAGCTCGGAGACAACGACGAAGGCACCACTCGATGAGGTGGTGATGGATGTGGTGGGCCCCTTGAAGCTTGGAGCTGCTGGAGCACAGTACTTCCTCACCATTGTGGACGTCTACTTTCGCATGACTTGGGTGTATGTGCTGCCCAAGAAGAGTGACGTAGCTGAAACGGTGAAGACCGATTGGTTGCCGATGGTGGAGCGGCAACAAGACCGGCTTGTGAAGGCGATTCGCACAGACCGTGGGGGAGAGTTCCTCAGCAAGGACTTCTCAACTTGGCTGAAGAAGCAGGGCATAAGGCACTCTCTCACCATGCCCTACTCTCCTGCAATGAACGGCATCGCCGAGCGTGCGAATCGGACACTCACGGAGACGGCTCGGGGACTTCTCATTGAAGCCGGTCTTCCCAATTACTTTTGGCCGGATGCGGTGCGGCATGCTTGTGTGGCCAAGAACAGAGCCCTGACTCATGTGGGAGAAGACAAATGGGTGCCCTATGCGGAGTGGATTGGAAGGAAGCCGAAGGTGGATATGCTTCGGGTGTTCGGGTGCATGTGCATGGCACTTGTGCCTAAGAAACTTCGGCACAACAAGCTTGATGCCAAGGCAACATGGGCCGTGCACCTGGGCATGGCTCAAAACAGCAAAGGATGGCTTCTTTGGGACCCATTTTCCAAGAAGTTCTTGGTGAGCAGAGGTTGCAAGTTCATGGAGAACTTACCGTACAAGGAGTGGAAGGCGGAGAACCAAGCAAAGATTGGTGTGCGGCTTGGAGAGGTGAAGAGTACCGGCTTGGAGCATGTGGAGCTGCCCTTGGAGCTGAGTAGCAGCAGCACTATCACAAGGCAATCTCCTCAAATGAATGGGGGAGAAGAGGAGGAGGAGGTGCAGCAAGGTGATGAGCGTGCACCGTCACTTCCGCCTCATTCTACAAGTCCTCGTGGGAACCGACCAGATTTGCAGCAATGCCATGAGAGCATCCAAGTCCCTGCAGCAGAGGAGGAAGGAAGGGGGAGAAAGAGGACTCAGCCCCCCAAAAGTTTGAGCTATGACCGGCTTGGAGGACCAGCCAACTCAACCTTGACCGGTTCGGCTCTCATGCTAGGCGATGATGCGGAGGATGAAAGCGAGGAGTGCACTTCTGCCTTCTTCTCTCCGGTGGAGATACCGGGGGAGCCTACAAATCCCAAGGAGGCTTGGGAGGGCCCCAATGGGAAGTAGTGGAAGAAGGCCTCAGATGAAGAAATGGGGAGCATCATAGAGAACGACACATTTGACTTGGTGAACCTACCTCCGGGGCGGAAGGCGATTTCTTCCAAGTGGCTCTTCAAGCGCAAGACCGATGCCGACGGCAACATTGAGCGCTACAAGAGCAGACTTGTAGCCAAGGGGTATCAGCAGCAAGAGAAGAAGGACTACAATGAAGTGTATGCCCCTGTGGTGAAAGGTACAACCCTTCGAACCCTCTTCGCCGCGGCGGCCATCAAAGGATGGGTGGTGAAGCAAATGGATATAGTAACGGCCTTCCTCAACGGGGTTTTGGAGGATGAGACCTACATGGAGCAGCCAGAGGGGTACAATGATGGGAGTGGCAGAGTGTGGAAGCTGAAGAAAGCACTCTATGGCCTCAAGCAAGCCCCTAGGCAATGGTACATCAAGCTGCGGGAAGTCTTGGAGGCGATCGGCTTCACTCCCTCAACGGCCGATCAATCCTTGTTCATGTTTGGCGAGGGGGAGCAGAGGAGCTTCATGGTGGTTTATGTGGATGACATCCTCATATTCTCACCCTCCTCTGACCTTGTGAAGGAGGTGATGCTGAAGCTTCAAGACAAGTTCAAATACAAGACCCTTGGTGACGTCAACTACTACCTTGGGCTTCACATTGAGCGAGATGTGGAGAAGCGGTGGATGCGAGTGCATCAAAAGAAGTACTTGGAGGCCTTGGCTGCAAACTTTGGGAAGAGTGAAGGTCATGTGGCTACTCCTCTTCCCTCGGGGTTCAAATGTGTGAAAGGACCAGCGGAGGAAAGTGTTGGTGAAGAGGAGAGGCGGCGTTTTCACTCCTTGGTGGGCAACCTCATGTATGCGGCCGTTCACACAAGGCCGGATGCAGCCTTTGCTACTGGACAGTTGGCTAGGGTTGTCCAATGCCCCAATGAAGAGCAGGTAGCAGCTGGAGTGAGAGTGGCCAAGTATCTTGGCCAAACAGCAACTGTTGGACTGCAATACTCCGCGGCGGCACAAAGGCGTCAAAAGGGTGTGGATGGAGTCGAACCCGGGAGGCTCTTTCTCACCGCCTTCTCTGATGCATCTTGGGCATCAGAACCAGAGGACATGACAAGTGTGGGAGGCTTCATCTGCTGTGTTGGTGGAGGCCCAACAGCTTGGGAGAGCAAGAAGCAAGTGGACCAAGCATTGAGCTCGGTGGAGTCCGAGTACATGGCACTCTTCCGTGCCATAAGAGAGGTTGTGTGGCAGCGGCGTTTGCTAGCTGAATTGGGGGAGGAGCAGCAAGGACCTACCCCACTCTATTGTGATGGCCAGGGTGCTATTGCATTGGCTAAGAACCCGGTTCTTCATGGCCTTACCAAGCACATGAAGGTGAAGTGGCATTGGGTGAGGAGCATGGTAACCTCGGGTGAAGTGGAGTTGCACTACGTGAAGACGACGGCACAGCCTGCTGATATGATGACCAAGAGGCTGGTTTAGCAGCAGCATTGGAAGTGTTGCAAGCTTGCTGGAATGGCTCTGAACTAAGGGGAGCAGATTCTAAGGCCAACAATCCGAGGGGGAGTTTGTTGGTGCAACCCTATGGCTTGCACTCGGCTTGTCGTCCTTGTTTGTGTGTGTGCATGCATGGCATGGAAATGACTTGTGAGTCTATGTGATTGCTATCGAGTGCTTGTGTGTGTGTTTGAATGGTGTATCACAATGTGGTTTGTGTCGGTCAAGACATTAGCGAGTTTTCACAACTCGCATGTCAAGTCGTCGTTTGTGTGTCGCATGTGTTTTTTCTATTTTGCCGAGTGTCGAAGTGTCCATCGTGTCGCAGGTGTGTGCAGCAAGCCTCCATCAACTCAAGAAGAATTTATCTTGCTGAACCAAGACCAAGAGCTCAAGATTTCAAGCCCAAGGGACACGGATAAATATTAAATAGTGAAAATCGTAACGCTACTTCGTGTAGTGTTACATTTTACTTGGTGTAGCCCCTTGGAAGGTTTGTTTCGAGACTCTTCATGGTTGGGGACTCTGTGGTGGTGTACCACCACCTGGACCTCGACTCTTGGGGTATGTAGAGGCTGGGAACCATCTCCATCTCGAATTCTTCTTGCTAAGTTTGTACTTCAAGACTGTAGTGGCTGCTTACCTCCTGCTAGTCAAACCGCCATAGCATCGTCAAATCTTCCTGGAATTTTATTATTCAACTTGCTGCTGATAGGCGACAGGAACGCGCTCTAGATCCAATTTACAGATCATGGTTTGAGGCACAGATCAGATCGGCATCAATATTTGAAGCTGTCTGATGGAATTCTGACTCTGCACAATTTCTCTCATTTTAGGCACATCTGAGCCTATTGTGATTATAACAGGTACGCTTTGGGAGGGGCACATAGTGGATGTGTTTAGTGCGCTAAAATCCATAATAGTACACTGGATTTTACTTAGTACCAAAAGATACAAAGAGTACATCTGGACAATTATTTCCCACGACAAAGAGCAAACTTCCGCGCAGCGTTTCTAGTTACTTCGTCCACCAACACTTGGCCTTGATCACTACCTGCACCCTCCTAGGCATTTTATCTACGAGGTTAGTGCAAACCTTTACATGGATCTTCTCACACTCTTCCTGGACTCACCCTTTTGCATAAGGGGGTAAGAACTAGGAAAATCGCGAAGTATTTGAGCGTATGCAATAATATTGTGCACGATTTCAGATTGAATGTTATCTCTGAGACTAGACATGCTGAGGTGTGGCCAAAGATGTCATCTTTGTCCTGGGAAATAATTGTCCGGATGTACTCTTTGGATATATTTTGGCACTAAGTTAGATCCAGTGTATTATCATGAATTTTTGTGCTGTGAACACATCCACTATGTGCCCCTCCCAAAGCGTACCACCATTTAACATTAAGAATTTATATACAGTGGTCGGAAAGCCCAAAAACCCTGATTAATGCAAAACATCCGGACAATTGTTTCCATCACTGTATAACGAACGACGAGCATGAGAGCTTTCAAATGACGAGCCTCAACGTCACCGTCCTCATAGTCGATGATGCTGCACTGTGCGGTCCTGATGCCCTCTGCAAGCACCTTCTTCTCGACCGCATCTTGATGCTTCTTGCTCAGCGAGTGCGTCCGCATCGTCCACTTTTGGATCCTGCCCGTTCCGGCCGTACTTGGTGTCGGATGGACCGTGCGCCATGTAGACGCTGCACCTCATGCAAGGACGGCCATCCTTCTGCTGGTCGATTGCAACCCATGGCAAACCGCGTACCCAATTCTCCTTGCACTTGGCTTTCAGCTCCTCCTGCAGCGCATCGGGGTCGGGGATGTACTTCGTGCTGGTAGACGGCGTGGTTGTCTCCAGGGGGTGGGGATTGCTGATTGGCGCATCACCAGCTGCGGCTGCAGACGTGCTCGGTGCCGTTGAGCCGCTTGGGTTCGATGCATGCGATGTCACTCTGACATGTGGGACGCGTGTTCTAGTGAATCGAATGGTACTCTGGGTGTAGCATGCTTTTGTCTCGATGCTACCTAGCGGGGCAAATCTGTTGGCAGAAACAGTGGGCCGTTTGGCGGCACCAATGACGGATGCAGTGCGAGGCGATGGAGGAGGGGTGTTCTCGTCTAACGGGTTGTTATGTGTTGGCGATATGGGAACGCAGTAAGGCATGCGCACGGGGTGAGACGGGGAGGCAAGCGGAGGGTTAGGAGGAGGATCCACGCCACTTGAATCGACATCCAGGTGGGCTTGCTGCTGATTGTAAACGGGCTTGGTTGAGGAAGCCCTCCGGAGGTCCAACCCCGTCGGCATGACGGCACACTAGGACGATGCTACAGCCCTGGCACTGGTAGTGGGGCTACGGATTGCATGGGCTGCAGCTTGTCTATAAGTGGCGTAAGCGGTGTGCGAGCTCTACAGATACGTTATCCTAGGACAATAAGAAAAATGGGCAGAAAGCCCATAGCTTCACTAGAAGATTGTGTGTGGGAAGAAGATCAGGGAGACGACGAGGATGGGCGTATGCAAGACTTGGCTGGAGAAGATTGGGGACTCCATCCACGTTTTCATGTTTCAGGCATGGGCAATGCGGCGCGTGGTTCGGTGCCCCCGCACATCGTTGATACTTGTCCATGCAGGAGTTGCGGCCGAACCTGGCAGAAAGGTGGCAAATGCTGCCCCACTCGGCAGCCAACTCCGCCGAGCGAGATGCGGTGGTTTTGACAATCCAATGGGCGAGCGAGATGCCGCCGAGTGGTCGCCCAAACTGCCAACAATTGCGATTTGTGACGTGTATGCTGCTGTTCTAAGTCATGTTGGCAGGGTGTCACATGAGTTGCTGCCAAAACAGTCAGTTCCCGGGCGCCTGGGCGGGATCGACCCCGTGATTGCCGCTGTTCCCGTAATCAGCGGATGTCCTTGCACAGCGAAGATTCATTCGGTTTCAGACGAAAGATTTCATCAAGTCTGAAAAATCAGACGGACCAGTACACGTTTGCTGAAGTTTTAGACTATCCCTTAAATGAATTTCTGAACCATCAGAATTCTAAAAATTCAATTTCTGAAAAATCAGATTATGACCGAATTCCAGGTCTGAAAATCAGACCAACAGACGAAATTCTTCTGATAGCGGGGACCCTGTTCGACATCTTTCCCGAACCTTTCGATCCTACGTCCAAGATCACCCTAGGTTTCCTATATATTGTGTTGTCTTCCATTTAATTGTCATTCACTCGTTCACAGTTTCGCTATTGCCCTGCGCTCTACTCGTTCATAACACTTGGTATTCAAAGTCATTTTCCTCACCCGTTGGGCTTCTGAGGGCAGAAGATCTTATTTGGGGGGAGGGGGAGAAGGCGGATGGCACTAGAGAAGGCACGGCGGTTGTCCTGAAGCATGATATGATATGCTTCAACTGCTACGTCTGCGTCTTCTGAAGACTGACGATCCGAACGCAAGGGACGAGCACGATCTGATCGTCTATCCCCTCCAGGGCTCTTGTGTCCGTCCTGACATGGCAAAGATTTTGAAGAGTGCTTCCGGTATGCTGTTCATTTCGCTTATTGTTGAAGGAGTTTCGGTTGCAGCAACGACGATTCGGATTGGTGTCCGAAAAGAGCAAGAGCTCGTCACGAGACGAAAGTGTAGCTGACGTGGCTGCATGGTGAAGTGTAGATGACATCAGCAGGCTCGGCATTTCCGGCAGGCGACACGCAGGTGAAGACGGGACTTCGGATACTGTTCAGCAACGTGGCGTTGGAGTTTTCGTCACGACCAAGGATCGCACGACAGCAAACGTGGGGCTCAGGCACGGAGGAGTTCCGAGGAGTACTGACCTCGGAATTGATTCGCGTGACTTGCCTGCCTGGAGGTGTAATTCATCTGCCCTAGAGTTTCGAGCTCGGCGAGTCTGGATTCCTGCAGAGGAAGCCATTTTCGTGGTCAGAAATTACACTCCACGATCTACGGAGGACGACCAGCAACTACCCTCGGGTCGAGTTTAAGTGTCATCACCGAGTTACCGTTAAAAGTCAACAACGAAGAGCTGAAGCAGAGAAGGAGAACGTCTGGGAACAGCCATGAAATTATTATGGAGTCTTCAAGAATTATTCCTGAGTTGCGGGGCTATAATCGAAGATTCGGCTGCGAGGACTTATTCGGGGATTACATGGACGGGCGCAATGATGAGTGAACATCGGCGCGTCGCAAAACGTCCGGTATTTTCCATGTGGGAATTCTTCAAGTTTTTGGCTGGAGCAGTAGCTGGGGTTATGGGTACCTACGGAGCTGTACGATGGTGTAAATACCAGCATGGTTAGTCACTGAAACTGCATAAAATGCGCTTTTTGTAGCGGAGAACTGTACCCGAGTTTTTCGGGGGTACCTGCCATAGCCGCACGATGGGTGAACGTCTGCACGGCGAACCGGTTAGGAGGAGTTTCGAAATTTACAACACGAAGCAGATCGACAGCAGTTTTGAGAACCTGAACATTATGTTTGATAAGCAGAATAATCTAGAACAAGTGAGTACAGGGAAGATATACGGTTGGAGTTTCACCCTCTAAGAATACAAACCTATCTAGCCTAAAATTTCTACATATAAACAAATGTATATGTTGACA